TCTTACCAGAATCTCCACTAGAAAGCACTCGACTCACTGGAAAAGAAAATATGGCAACCTAGAATTTACTCTGTGTAGAGTTGGAGGCAGCAAGATAATTTTTGTAAAATGGAGTTTAATATTATTCTAGCAAGAAAAGGCAAAAGTGTACTCTCCTGGTGTTTCTTCTCCCACTGACCGCTCCTCCCCAAGCCCCACGGGCTCTTTTTAATCCCTAAAAATTGGGTTTCCCCTGAGGGCAGTCTTCATAATGCTTCTCTTTATTGTTTCATAGCTTTGAAGATGCAAGCGACTTCCAAATTCTTGTCTCCTGCTCTAGACTCCAGCTCTAGACTCTGTCCAGCTGTTTCTTTACCATCTCCACAGGGGTGTCCAAAGTAGGCCTCCTGTTTCCTCCCCTGCCGTTTCCCCACCCAGCCTTCCGAATTTAGGGAAGTGGGTGTTATGCCAGCTGGTCATTAGGTTTCAATTGTCACCTCTTGAGAGAGGCCTTCCCTGTCCATCCCATCTCGAATTCTCCCCACTCCTTGACTCTGCAGGGCCACAGGAATCCTATCTGTCTTGTTTCCTGCTAAGTTCTCAGAGGATGCCTGACTCATACTGGGAGGCGAATAAATATTTACTGGGTGAAAGAATGAGTGAAAATGAATGAACAAAGCAATTTAACAAAGAATTTGTAAAAGACTGAGGTTGGAGGAAAGAAATTAGCTAAGCGCTGGGGATGCTGTCCCTTAAATTGGTTTTTTGATCTAATTAATACATTCCATAATTTAGGGGTTTTCTTAAGCGAATTTTGTTTTCAGGGACAAACTAAAGGAGTTTAGGAATCTGTAGGAAAAACTGTTTACACGTAAACACTGTTGGGATTTCATAGTAGTAGTTACTGATGAAAAGGTATTTGCTAAGATTTGATTCTGTCAAGACCAGCCTGGGCAACATATTGAGACCTCGTCTGGTCAAAATGCACCTGGGCATGGTGGCACAAGCCTGTAGTACTGGCTACTTGGGAGGCTGAAGCAGGAGGATCACTTGAGCCCAGGAGTGAGGCTGCAGCAAGCTATGATCGTGCCACTGCACTCCAACCTGGTTGACAGAGCAAAACCCTGTCTCTTAAACAATAAAAAATGCAATACTTGATGATTATTAAATCTTTAAATAGATCTTCAGAGTGCAACAAAATGTAAATTATTGCTTCCTGGTCATCGAAGTCCATGCTGACGTTCCCATCCTTTTTACCCATTGACAATGAGAGTGGTGGATCCAAGAGGCCACAGATCTGCTGCCAGTGCCTGCCCTTCTCAGGCCAGCGGTGCTGGCTGGAAGAAGGATGTGCTACAGGGGGCCTCTTTGGAGCTGACTTCTGAGCATTAATTTCTTCCACCAGAAGATCAGTAAATGACCCCCTCCACCTGCTGCCTTCCAAATTTGGAATTGGGTTACATCATTGATTTTTTTTCCTCCTGCTCGATGAATTCTATAATCAGTCTCAAGGAGAAAGGAGATGGCGTTTTGCATCGCTGCTCTGCACTCCTGTCTGCATTCAAATTCATACAGTGTCATTTTCCTCCTTTGCAAATTTGATGAGTTGAGGAGGCTCATATTTATGAAACATTGGCTTGTTATTCTTTGGACAGTGTCTGGATGGTGAACTTGTGAAATTTTAAAAACAAACATCGCACTCACCAGAAGATGAATAAAGAAACTACAGTGCCATCTGCTGGCATCCTGAGGAAAGGCAGGTGATGACCAGGACACATCCAAACCAGAGGATAAAATTATTCAAAATATGTGATAGTTTGAAGAAAGTAGATAAAAATAATGAAAACACTGTAAATCATCATTTTAGAGAGAAAAATACTGTTATATTTTGTGAAAACTGCATGGTAGTAAAAGCTTACCTTTTTCTGCAGTGTAAGTTCCGAAGTATTTTTACGATACTAAACATTCTCCTTTGGCAGAAAGAATGAAAATGGGATTGGAAAAATAGAAATGAGCCTCTGAATTGAGATGATTTTATGTAAATTTTTCCCAGATTAAAGAGAGTAAGGCATATATTGGAAGGACAATGGGGCTGGAGTCTAGGTCACCTGGGTACAGTCCCGTGTTGGCCCCACGTAGCTGTGGAACCGCCGGCCACTTCCTTAATTTCTGGAGACCACAGTTTCCTGTAAAATTGGGATTGGATTAAATGATTGGGAAAAAATCCTTACAACTCGATAAGGTTTATTATTCTAAACCATCAAAGGGGTAAAGGAAGGTAATCTTTTTTTAGACCATTTTCCCACAAAAATATTTCTTTTAGAAAAGGTGAAAGCTCACATACATATTTTTTATTCATGACATGGTTAACCAGTTTTATCCAGAGCTAGGGAGATTTGATATATTTGGAGCTTAGCAATTCGGTTGAGACTTTCCTAGTCCTTAGAGTGAGTATACAAATATTAATACATGTGGGGCGCGCTGTGCTTTTAGTGGCCCCTTACAGAAAGCCTTCTCAGCCACGCTGCTAGGTCACGGCCAACGGAAGTGAGGGGGACTGATGCATAGTACGACGACTTCAAGTGCAAAACCCGACAGTAAGATCTGAAAAAAAAAAAAAATGTTAACAGTCCAAAGTTAGCTTAAAGGTTATTGCTCTTTGAAGGATTTCCTGCCTTAAGCTCTGACCAACTAGCCAACTGCTTGCAGCCTTTTTGTTTTGCCCATCCTTCCCCGGTCGCCCTGTGTGTTTTCGAATTTGCTTTTGCTGCTGCTGCTCCTCCTCTTTCCCTTCTTGTTCTTCTTTTCCCCTTCTTCTTCTTCTTTTCTATTTCTTTTAGAGTCCAGGTCTCGCTCTGTCGTCTAGGCTGGAGTGCAGTGGTGCAATCATAGCTCACTGTAACCTTGAACCCCTGGGCTCAAGCAGTCCTCCCACCTCAGCCTCCAGAGTAGCTTGGACTATAGGCTTGCACCAGCATGCCTGGCTAGTTTTTTAAAAAAGCCTTTTGTAGAGAAGAGGTTTCGCTATGTTGCCCAGGCTGGTCTTGAACTCCCAGCCTCAAGCAATTTTCCCACCTCAGCCTCCGAAAGTGCTGGGATTATAGGCATGAGCCACTGCTCCTGGCCACATTTTTTTGTTTTTTTTTTTTTTTTTGGAGACAGAGTCTTGCTCTGTCACCCTAGGTGGAGTGCAGTGGCGTCATTATAGCTCCCTGTAACCTCAAACTCCTGGGCTCAAGCAAGCCTCCTGCCTCAGCCTCCCAAGTAGATGGGACTACAGGCATGCACCATGATGCCTGGCTAATTTTTCTATTTTTTGTAGAGATGGAATCTTGCTCTTGCTCAGACTGGTCTCAAACTGGCCTCAAGCAATCCTCCCGCCTTGGCCTCCCAGAGTGCTAGGATTACAGGCATGAGCCACCATGACTGGCCACCAATTTTTTTTGTGAGTTAAATTTTCCTTATATTTTCTGTGTTCGCAGCATAGTAGTAAGGGGGAAATGACTAGAATTCAAATGTAGTTCTTGTCCTCTACAACTGTTTCTCCCCTCTTTCTGTTCTCAGCTCCTACTCTCCCTAGTTTACAATAGAAGCCTTTCAGATTTCTGTGCTGGCCAGAAACAGTTCTCTCCTCTCAGCTTTGCTTGCGAGGCTGGGGCCTTCCATTCTGAAATGGCACCTAGCAGTCAGCCAGCAGGAAGGCAGCTGCACTAAAGGGTGGTGGCTTATTAAATGTGGCTCTGCATGGAAAAGCCCCTCTCCTCTCTCTCTGGCCACCTTAAATTCTTGAGGTCCTTTCATCTGCAAGGTAGGCAGAAAATCACTGTTAGGTGATTTGAATGTTCTGCTTCTTTTTCTCCAATTTTTTCAATGTAACTCAGATCTGGCTCCCAACCTCTGTCTTACTAAACAGTCAGATGCCGAAGAGTATTTTACCAGACATCTCTTCCATCTTCCCTCATGGCGATGAGGTCTGAGCAAAGATTCTGGTTTCAGTGCCCTGAGTGTGCTTCTGATGTAGGTTCCTTCTGTCTGGTTTCCGTGTCAGCATGCCCAAGGACACTGACCTTGCCCTCTGGGCTTTGGACCCATTTAATGAAAGATCATGCTCAAAGTTCTACTCTTTTGTCTTTGAGACAACCAATTTTAACTTTGTTTGATTTCCCTGCCTTCTTGCTTTAAATTGGTATCTAAGTATTTTCTGGAGAAATGCTTAATTAACTGGTTCAGGGCTGTGTATACTTTTCAGGTTATTCAGGTTTGTCTACATCAACCTTCACAAACTGGCAGCAAGGGTGTAGGGTGCCAGGGTGTAGGGTAATGTGTGGGGCCAAATCTGGTGCCCAGACATGCATTGATTAACTTGAACATATTTCTGAAAACATGGAATTACTTACCATCACTTAAAAATCTGGGGCTATCCTGCAAAAATGCAGATTTCTGGCTTTTCTTTGAACATTGGGAGATTTAGCAAGATGAACGCTGCACTTGCCACTTGGCGGTGACCCCTGGAGGAACTGCATACTGGCTGCCTCCTCTGTTTGGGGCATCCAATCTCCCTCACCCTCCTCCCACCCCACCCCTTATTATTCTTACAACTGACACTTCACTCAGCTGCTGGGCTAGGCGGCCTTTGCGGTGCTGAGTTTATATTTTCATTATTATTTGCTTTCTCTTTTCCGCTTATACGAGGGACATCCCAATGGCCATAACTTCACTGGTACTTAACAGTTCACGGAAGTGAAAGGTACTTGAGCAATCATGTAGTGAAGTCTGTTCTCTTCATTTAATATTATAGGTCTTGCCCTAGAGTGAGTCCTTAATAAATGTTGACAAATGACACACAAGGCCGTTTCTAGGAAGCCAGCAAACAGGTAGAAAAGGCCCATGGTAAACATCCTACACAAATTTGCCCTGGCTCGGTTAAGTAGTATTGATGCTGGGTCAGACTAGTTAGGAGGAGTTTCAATTCTCCCATGAAAGCAAGGCTCCCTGGTAATCCAGCTTGTTCTCTTTTCTAGGAACCCTCTTCATAAATCAAATTCAGAAGACGGCTCTGTAGGTCAGTACCACTTTCCTTGGTTTAACTATTTCATTGTTCTCTTTTAATGCTTTATAGATAACATAAGTGTGTGATAACACTAAAACCACAAAGGACCCTGCTAGTCAGAAATAAACACTGTTAAGATTGTGATGTATAACTTCCTTCTCTCTTTTTTCCTATTCGTGAGGTTTTTAAAAAAACATAATTGTGATCATATTCTACATACTGTTTTATAATTTTTAAAATTGAATGTGTTATGAGCACTTTCCCACGTGATTGAATCTTCTTTACAGTAAAATTTTTAAGTCTACATAATATTTCATCATCTCGGATGTGCCGTAATTTAATTGACAAGTCAGTTCTGTGCTGGACCTTTAGCTTCCAGTTTTTTCTCTATGGTAGACAAATAAGCTACCATGAAACTCCTGTGGTCTCTGCCCCTGATAACGTCCTTAGGATACATCCTTCAATTTGGACTTTTTGGGTCAAAGATTATGCACAATTAAGGCATTGTATATTTTATAGATCCTTGATTATAAAATGCATTCTTGGTTTAGTCATAGCTTTTCTGTTTGCATCAATGGTTGGGCAGTAGTGATTAGGGCAACCTCAGATTGCCTGGATTTGAATCACGACTCTACCAACTCAGTCGTTAAGACCTTGAGCAAGTCACTTTTTTCCCCCAAGGCTTAGTTTTCTCATCTGCTACATGGGAACAATAATACATCATATACATGAGTATTAAATGAGATATGCCATTAGATAGCAAAGTGCCTAGATATGGTTAAGTGCTGAACAAATGTTAGCTATTATCATTTATTTTTTAGGCTGCATCTCCATTTCAGAAACATTAAAATCGGAGAGGGGAAGAAGGGACTATAGCTTACAGTCAAAGAAATATATTACCAAATTGCCTGAGAGAAGGTTGAATTCATAATAATCAGTCTTCTTTAACCCTTTATGGCTGACATTTGCTTTAGTGTTAAGCCCGAAGGCAGCAGACACCATGAAACTTGTGTTAAGATAAGAATACATTGGACGTCTCAGCCTGACGGCTCTGATTTCATTCCCATAGCTCTGAGGGTTGTCAGAACTTAAATAAAAGCATCCTGTTTTGACAAATGATGCCCTTTCTAGCCCGAGAGCGCCATGGACATGGTTCCCACATGTCTGCTCTGTGCGGCATTGCTTGGCACCACCAGTCTAGACTGTGGAAACCCATGACTTTTCTGGGCCCTGTTTCCAGTGGCCATGGAGCAACCAGACAGACACCAGATGGTGACAGAGCTGCTGTTTTGAGTGTGCCACATCAACATGGTGGCAGATATCACTGCTGCCTTTTTCCTTTTTAAAGAATAAAGGACTGTTCTACCCATTCATTTTACTTTCCCTTTGCTTTTTAAAAGATATTACTTATTTTGATGATTGAAACCCTACCAAATATTAGAACTGTCTGGCTATGGCAATGAATTTGTTATCGCTTGAAAGTCACCCACAGGAGTCAGGGAAGGGTAGGAGGTTAGTGAGACACCCAGCGGGGAGATGTCACAGCCAGATTGCAATCTGTTTTTCTCATCACGTGCCCTGGGTAAGCGGTAGGTAGGTCACTGAGTGGCCCGAATGCCAGAGAGGTAGGAATCAAGCCCCACTCAGGCCATAGCTAGACCCGTGCAAACTACATACCATAGAGAAACAGTGCAGGTCAACCCCACAGACCAAGGGGACCAGCTATGCTGACCACTGGGCACAGGACATACCAGTCATTCTGTTCTCATCATTAAAGCTGGAATCACAGAAATAAACCAAGCGTAAAACAACAATAGGAATAACAACAAAACATTAAGTTAACTTCTTAAAATATCCTATTTGTGCTGTAGTTGAAGTAATTGTGGCTAAGACCAAAGGGGAAAAATATACCACAAGACAAGGCAGAATTAGGCATACTAGTTAAACAAACATCAAAGTGAATACAAGAATGCATGTTTTGCCTGCCTTTTTGATGTTTCTTTATTTCTCATCTTAACCCCACTGCACCATTTCTTGCTACTAGGAAATTTGCATTTCTTTTTAAACAACTTTATAGGCATTCCCCAGTCTTTCACAAACTGAAAGGGAAAAACTGTCTTTTTGTTAAATCAAAGTATTCTTATTAGCTTTGAATTGTAAGGAAGAGGCTACTTTTGTTATTAATGAATTTATTGCTTGTGCTTTTTTTTTTTTTTAAGGAAAAGGAGATTGGAAGAAGAAAAATAAGTATTTCTGGCAGAACTTCCGAAAGAACCAGAAAGGAATAATGAGGCAGACTTCAAAAGGTACTGCAGTGCAGCTGGCGGACAGTAGGTCCATTTAGCTCTGAAATGTTAAGAAGCCTGAGCCGCTAATCTAAATAGACGCTATAAGTTAGAATAACTGATTGCGTGTGCCCATAAAACATTCAGCTTTTGGACATTCCTATCATTACTTTAAGACTTCGTCCCAGTGAGTTTTTTTTTTTTTTTTTAGACTAAAGAAAACAAATGGGAAGAGTTAGCAGTTCTTTCTTTCTTTTCCATAGATCTGACCGCAAAGACCAAATCTTTAGTTTTCTCAGTTACACCAGCTTCGGAAAGATCTTTACATTCACCTTACTAAGATCTAACCTAAAAGGGTCTAAAAAGTCTTAGCGTTTGCTGGTTTTGGACCCTACGTGAAGTCTTTGCAACTTTGCATTGAACGTCTGCTGAACTTTCAATGCTCTTCTGTGGCAGGGACGGTCCTGGGGTTGTTGCCCCTGGAAACTCTAACGGCCCTGACATCATGGGAATTTGCCCAGGCTGCTTTGTAAAGGGAGTTCTGCCCTACTCTTGGCCGTGTCTTTTGTTGTTGTTTATATAGTAAGTAAATATGTCATCCCTTTGAGGCCTAGTTATGTAATTTATGTTTCCCCAGTATTTAGAGAGGAAACCGGAACAAATCCACTTCCAGGTTCCAGTCCCGCTGAATACGGTTATCAATAGATGGAAATTTTTCCTTGCTCACCGGTGACACGACTTGTTTTCCTTTATAAAATCATAGTGTCTGCTGCGGTTCAGAATCCGTCTCCATTTATCTACACACGTGGAAATGAGAAAAAAAGATGAGAGCAGCAGATACGCCATAGCACACCTGGGTTCCATGGCAACATTCCATGTGGTTCTTTTTTTAAGTTGTTCTTCTTTAAGGAAGTTATTTTTTTTTTTTTTTTTTTTTTTTTTGAGACAGAGTCTTGCTCTGTTGCCTGGGCTAGAGTGCTGTGGCGTCAGCCTAGCTCACAGCAACCTCACACTCCTGGGCTCAAGCGATCCTACTGCCTCAGCCTCCCGAGTAGCTGGGACTGCAGGCATGCGCCACCATGCCCAGCTAATTTTTATATATATATTTTTAGTTGTCCAGATCATTTCTTTCTATTTTTTAGTAGCTCAGGCTGGTCTCGAACTCCTGACCTTGAGCGATCCACCCGCCTCGGCCTCCCAGAGTGCTAGGATTACAGGCGTGAGCCACTGCGCCTGGCCAGGAGGTTATTCTTGAACATTCCCAATTTTTCCTTCTGATATACCCAGGATTATTTGTGATTCAAAACAAATCTTGGATTCCAAGGAAGTCTTATTTAGGAAGAAAGCTAAGGAGAAAGAGAGGTAGAGAGAGAGAGGGAGGGAGGGAGGGAAGGAGGAAGCAGTTACCGGCCCCTGTGGGTTAAAAACCCAGCCAGCTCCCCATCACCCTCTCCGCTATCGGAGACGACACAGATAGGAAAATGAATCAAACCAGCAGGCTTCTCTCCTCCGCGGCACACACTATTATTCTTCCCGTACAAGTAGATGAGTGGCAAAGGGAACTTGAGCAGCATTTCCAGACTGATTGATTACAGAATGGAAATGAGATAGGAAAATACCGGGGAATATAAATTCCAAAGTAGGCCCTGCCTGAAATGGGTTCCTGTAGTCTGCGGCCAGACTCTTTCCCTCTGTCCTTCTACACCAAGGGCGTATTAAGCTGCAGCCGGGCATCCTAATGACACCGGGGGTTGGTGAAAGATGAATGAGAGAGACGGAGCGGGAGCAGGACAAGGGACTGGAACGTGGCTTGCTCCCGGTCTGCTCCTGTGGCCCACTTCCACCGACACGTCCCCCCCCCACTCACCGACCGCTCACACGACTGTCACCCACACGCGGGCCAGCGTGGCTCGAATACAGCACGGGCAACAGCAGCCTGTTTGCTTTGCAGGGAAGACTTCAGAAGGCGTCTAAGGGGGGAGTCTCTTCTCCTCTGTGGTTCTGGCTCTGCCTTCAGTTTCAGACTGGAAGTCGACTTCCCCTCACAGTCTGGAAACCTATTTATGACAATAAATTTTCAGATACAGACATATATAGTCCCCTTCTCACGAACGCAACATGCTTCATATCTGTGATTTTATTTATTTGCACTTATCCTTTGTGGAACCAAGGCCACATAGCTTAGTAAGGTTGAAGGATTTTACCAGGCTGCGGGTTTGGACTCTTGTCACCTTACCTTCCTCTGTTGTGACTGACAGTTTTCTCCTACTCCTCTGCAAAAATATTTCCTTCCCATTCATGTTTCAGATGGAGAGAACCTCATTCAAAGCAGCCGTGCAATGCTTGTCAGATCTCGTTGGGTGTTTAAATGAGATCTCTGCCCTCCCAACGAGGACCTCCCTGTCACTTGTTTCAAACCCCCTACCACTGGTCACTCCATCTCAAAAGCTCTGTTGTTTGCGGGATTGTTTCTATCATAACATCCACATGTTCTGGGAGCCGATTTCCCAATCAGAGGTGCTCAGTGCGGTTCTATTGCCCCGAGTAGCAGTTCTTACTGCTCCACGAGTAACAGGCAGCATAGTGCCCCCGAGCAACGCCCTTCCCCAGCCGGAGACAACAGTCTGTCAGCCTGGACATTCTGTTTCATCTTTCTTCTTCTCATTCCTGCTACTCTCTCTCCTCAATCTCCAGGAGAAGATGTTGGTTATGTTGCCAGTGAAATAACGATGAGCGATGAGGAACGGATCCAGCTGATGATGATGGTCAAAGAAAAGATGATCACCATTGAGGAAGCCCTTGCTAGGGTAAGCAGGTGACTCGGCTGTATCTGTGAGCTGGGCCTCCTGGCGTTTAAAAATATTGGAGGCATCAAAGGGTAGAGGAATATAATATCTAAAGTATTATTTTGATGATATTTTGGTGGTTATCAGGTACTCGCATTGTCAGATAAAATATTACATTCTTTTTTGTTTTTTTTTTTTTGAGACAGGGTCTCGCTCTGTCACCTAGGCTAGAGTGCAGTAGCATCCTTATAGTTCACTGCAGCCTCTAACTCCTGGGCTCAAGCGATCTTCCTACCTCAGCCTCCCAAGTGCTGGGACCACAGGTGTGTGCCACCAGGCCCGGCTAATTTTTCTCTTTTTTTGTGGAGATGGGGTCTCACGCTTGGTTCAGGCTGGTCTCAAGCTCCTGGCCTCAAGCAATCCTCCCAAAGTGCTAGGATTACAGGCGCAAACCACAGTGTCTGGCCAGATGTTTATTACATTCAGTTTACTTGACGCAAGCATTCCACCTTGTGAGGTGAAGCTTCCATATTTAATAACTACACGAATGAATGAATAGCAGACATTAGGAGAAAAAATGACCTTCTGAATACCATTGCAAAATTTGCAGACCTTTTGGAAAGACCGATAAGAATGTAATCAATGGTACAAAATTAATTATTAAATAAAAGTCAAATAACAAAACCTCAGTTTTATAAGATGCCTTCACAAACTGAACTTTGAATAATCTAAAGCTTTTGATCGAGATATACCTTAAAATTTGGCTTACTTTCATATCTGAGTAAGTATTAATTGCACTTTATTGTGTCTCTTTTTTTTTTCTCCCCTGAGTTAAATTAGGCACTAACAGAAGCCTAATGATCTTTGAGGGTAGCAGTTATGATAGTGAGACACAATTTGTTAAGAGAGTCCCTGCTTTGTCATTTACAACATACTAATTGGCTCTCGGATTTTCACTTTGGTCAGTTGGGTCAGTGCTGTGCAGATAAGTCACAAATAAACAGGTTTAGAAACGAATGAAAACCTTCAAATCCCTAAGGAGCCATTGAACGAGTTATAACTTTATTATTGTCGTAGTCATTTTGTGCTGCTGTCATGGAACAGCACAGGCATTTTTGGCTCAGAATGCTGGAGGCTGGGAAGTCTGATGTCAAGGAGCAGGTTTGGTGTCTGTGAGACCCTTCCCTTCTTCCCAGATGGCACCTGTGTACCGGATGCTCACCTGGCAGAAGGCGGAAGGGCCAACGGGCAAAGGGAGGCTCAACCTGCCCTTTTATAATGGAATTAACACCACCCTATCAGCTCCCAGAAGTCCTACCTCCTAATACCACCACCACCACAAAAAAATTTCAACATGAGCTTTGGAGGAGACAAATATTCACCCCATAGCAACCATTAATTGGAATCTTAAGTGTTTGGAACCTTGAAACGGTGGCAGGCACACTCAGTTTAGTTTAGTATACAGTAGTCCCCTCTATCCACAAGGGATACGTTCCAGTACCCTCCGTGGATTCCTGAAATCTTGGATAGTACCGAACTCTGTATATACTATATTTTTTCCTATACGTATATACCTATGATAAAGTTTGATTTATAAATTAGGCACAGTAAGAGATTAACAACAATAACTAATCATAAAATAGGACAATTATAACAATATTCTATAATAAAAGTTATGTGAATGTGTTCTCTGTCTCAAAATATCTTATTGTACTGTACTCATCTATTTCCTTGACCACAGGTAACTGAAATTGTGGAGAGCAAAACTGCAGATAAAGAGGGTACTACTATATCTGACTCTGAACCTCAATAGTTAAGAAAAAAAGCTTAATTTATTGCTGAGACAATGTTGAGGAAAGAAAAACCGCTTATGTGAGCTATAGGGTGGGACTGGGTTTACTGGGAGACCTGGTGGCTACGATTGCTTTGGGATACCCACCTGCCGGCTCCTCTCCCTCTGTGGATTCCGAGACTTCCAGACTGAGGTGGCAGCCACGGCTGGGTGATGTTGCTGGGCTTACTGCAGACAAGGCAGCTAGCTGGTGCTGGGCAGGCGATAGAACAGGTGACAGGTGACAACCTCCTGTCCATGCCGCTGATCGCCTGGCCTTCATCCTCAGCCTGGTCTGTTTAACCACACCATCGACCATCTGGCCAGCTGCCGGCCAGGGCAAAAAATCACCGTACATTTTCTCTCCGATTCCATTCTTGGGCATGCCATAGCACTTGGGAAGTCCAGCTGAATTCCTAGAAAGTGCATGTGAGACATGCAGACCTGTATTTACTTTTACCGTGGCGAGCAAGATGTTAATTACTTCCTGGGAAGTGATGCTACCACATTGCTTTTTAATAGTAAAACTGAAGGGAAGGGGTCTGCCGTCATCTGACAGCACTTATGTGGGGAGGGAGTTGCCTGTGTTGGTGCCTAACCAGTGTTCTGGGAGGAAGAGAAAAAAGCAGCCTTGCTCTGGCCCACTTTAGATAGCATGTTTCTATAATTGAAAAAGAAACAGAGGAATATTTTCAAATTGGGGGGAATGTGGAGGAAAAGATTGCTTGAAGCTCCTTCTGTGCTCATAATTCAAGAACTGGCCATTGTTTACACGAAAGGCAATGGGAAGGCAACTCGGTGCGAAGGTGGCACAGCTGCAGGCATATCTGTGCGGCGGCTCCCGCCAGCTTGGCTGCCTCTCCCTGGTCGCAGATGCAGCCACGGTGCTCATCGAGGGATCAAGAATATTGTCCATAAGGCAATCTGCAAATGCAGAAGCCTGAAGAAAAAATTGGTGACATTCTCCAAACTTTACTAGATTCCAGATACAAAGATGGGCACCCTTTGACTAATGAGGATGCAGCAGAGATGCTTTTTGGACTGCCCTTCTCAGGGCAGCACACACCCTCAGTGCAAGTGTCTAAATGGGCTTCTTCTTAGCCAGAGATGAAGCACTTCGAGAAAGATGTTATTGAGAACAGAAAATAAAGTGCAGAGGGGATCTGCTTCCTTTAACTTGTGAGCAGCTCAGGGTCTAGGTTTACTGTATCACTGTATTAAAAACGTGTTAAAACTTAGACCTCTTGCAATTACCCGTGGTCAGAAAATAGATGAGTACAGGACAAGACCATGTTAGGGCCTTGCTCTGGATTATTAGTTCAAGGGAATGTTGTAGCTCGTTTGAGCTTCTATCCAGATCACTCAGACTTTCTCTGTAACAGCAATGAGGCTGTTTTTCTCTCTTAGCATTTGTGTGTTCACCAGACTAGCACTTTTAATACCTTTGCATTCACGAGTTGGCTTTGCATTCAGAGGCCTAGCTTTTGACCTACCTCAGTTTCAACATGCCTTCCTCACTGAGCTTAATCGTCTCTGGCTTTTGATTTAAAGTGAGAGAAGCGCGACTCTTCCTTCCACTTGAGCAGTTCAAGGCCATTGTAGGGTTGTTAACTGGCCTAATTTCAATATTGTTGTGTCTCAGGGAATAGGGAGGCCTGAGGAGAGGAAGAGAGACGGCAACTGCTGCGGAGCAGTCAGAACACACACGTTTATCAATCCAGTTCCCCATCTTACATGGGTGTGGTTTGTGGCACCCCAAAACTACTACAGTTGGAACATCAAGATTATTGATCACAGATCACCTTAAGAGATATAATAAGAATGAAAAAGTTTGAAATATTGTGAGAATCACCAAAATGTGACACAAAGACTCAAAGTGAGCATACACTGCTGGAAAAATGGCACCAGTAGAATTGCTCGATGCGCGGCTGCCACACACCGTCAATTTGTAAAATTGCAACATCTGTGAAGCATAATGAAACAAAGCACAATAAAATGAGGTGTGCCTATACTCATTTTAAGAGCGTACATAGCTCTCAGCAAGTAAGTTCAGGGTATTCACATCTTGTACTAGTTTGGCAAGATACCGAAAGCCTAGTGAGACACTTAGGTTATTCATTTACCTGGGTAATTTCTGTGTATGTTGGTGAGGATAGGAGGGTAGGGGGTAAACTCACATTTAAAGCCTTGAATAAAAGAGAATACCGGTAATTTTTCTGGTATGATGCTACTCAGCAATGATGGAGCTATGTCATAGAAAAATATGTCCTTTGAAATTTTAATGGGATGCACTGTCTATAGTAATCTATGACTTAATAATCATATTTCCTTAATAATTATTAATACTAAAGACTGCTCAAAGTAGTCTTTAGTGATCTCATCACTAAATATTACATATTTACTCATCTGATCAGTGTGTACCTGGTTCCAAAAGGCTACACCTGTGTTAAAGTCAAAAATAAAGTCCATAGGAGGTTAAAAAAAGAGCACCTAATGTTTGGCATTGCTGTTTGGCATTGTGAACTTTTCTTAATTCCAGGGTTGTTCACATCAGTTTCCCTAAAGCAGAGCCTGAGGCAGGGATTCGTCAGTGTCTTAGTCCCTTTAGTGTTGGCTATAAAGGAGTATCTGAGGCTGGATAATTTATAAAGAAGAGGCTTATTTGGCTCACAGTTGTGCAGGCTGAAAGATTGGACATCTAGAGAGAGCCTCGGGCTGCTGCCATTCATCACGTGGGGAGAGAGGAAGGCCGAGTGAGAGGGGAGGTGCCCGGCTCCTGTTAACAACCAGCTCCATCAGGAACCAACGGAGGATAATTCACCTACCCCTCCAGGTCATCAGTCTATTCAGGAGGGATCTGCCCCCATGACCCAAACGCTTCTCATTAGGCCCCTACCCCAGTGTTGGGACCAAATTTTAACATGAGGTTTGGGAGGATGAACATCCGACTTATAGAATTGTGCAAGTCATTTATTGAAGGAAGGCTTTTAAAAGAACTCTCTAAGTGAGGAAGGGAACCAGTTGAGGCAGAGGAAGAAGCTGGACAGGAATGTGATTGCAGGAGAAATGTAGCCTCAGCCTGAACCCATGGGGAGTGAGGAGGTCTAGAAGGTGAATTGCATCGTAGGGTTTGTCCCACCAGGGAAAAAGTGTCTGAAAGCTGACTTGGGGTAAGGAACAGCCTTCTAGGCATCTTTGTGGGGACGGCTTCTGTTAGCCATGTCCTCTAGAGCAGGGTGCAAGTGTGAGCTTATGCCTACAGTAGGGGGATAGCTAGGGGATAGGCAAACAGTCTCGTGAAGGGATTTGGGCATCTGGTATACCAGAGCATAGGATTATGAACTGGGAACTTGGATGTGTTATTGAGTTATTTCCTTGTAGCAGCATCAAATCACAGAGATTTGGACACATGGACTCATGGAGAGTTCATAAAAGGTTTTTAAAAAACTGGTCCCATGGGGAGAAGTTTGAAAGGATTTATCTCAAAGAAGAAGCAGAGAAGGACTTAATGACAGTCTTTAAGTGTCTGAAGGATTGTTAAACAGTACACCTTTAGGATGTGCTGGAGAATGTTTTGATTGTTTTCCAATTCTCTACCGAGGACAGAGTAGAAAGAAATGAATTAAAATAGCAGCTGGAGGGGATTTAGATTTGGTGTAATGTAAATGTTCTTTACAATAAGCACTAGTAGAAATTGGAGTGGTATAAAATCTCTCTCCCCAAAGGTGTCCAAGATAGAATTAACCATTAATCTACTAAAGTTGGCCATCTCTCCGAGAATCATGTCATGGACTTCAACTGGGGGAAAACAATGAGACCAGGGAAAGCAGGATGTGAAGGAGCATTTCTGCTTAAAACAGACACAGGCACACTTTAAAATGTCCTTATAAGTATGGAATTAATGTAAAACTACAAATTTGCTTTAAAATATACAGATTCTCAAATCATAAATCACCATTCCTTCCTGAAATTATAATTAAATTAAAACTTATTGAAGCAAAGTGGGGTATAAAAATGTACTTCCAGGCCGGGCGCAGTGGTTCACGCCTGTAATCCTAGCACTCTGGGAGGCCGAAGCGGGAGGATTGCTTGAGCTCAGGAGTTCGAGACCAGCCTGAGCAAGAGCGAGACCCCGTCTCTACTAAAAATAGAAAGAAATTAACCGGACAACCAAAAATATATAGAAAAAATTAGCTGGGCATGGTGGCGCATGTCTGTAGTCCCAGCTACTCGGGAGGCTGAGGCAGGAGGATCACTTGAGCCCAGGAGTTTGAGGTTGCTGTGAGCTAGGCTGATGCCACGGCTCTCTAGCCTGGGCAACAGAGAAAAAAAAAAAAAAAAAAGTACTTACATAAGTACTAACCAAGTTGTTTTTCCCCTGTACAATGCACTTTTTAAAAATTTAGAGATGTTATTTTGTAACATTAAATCACACATCAAGTTGTAATTAGGGTAATTAAAAAACAGTTAAGTGCTAATAATAAGTTGGATAGGGCACAGAATTACAATCTCTATTGGAAGAAGCATACCTACTTTCAGGACTCAAAGCAGGTGGTAGAGATGGAAATATAGCCCCCCAAAATTATTGTCTATTTATGATTGACTGATTAGTTAGGAATTTGTGTCATTTTTTCGTAAAAGATGAAGCTTATTTAGTGGCTTCTGGTAGTTGGGGCTAAGGCTGAGTATAAAAATGGAGCAGAGACCTGGAGAAAACCTGATAATCCCATGATAATCTCATTTGCCCTCGGGCAGATATTCCCAATCATACAGGGAGAATGTAGCATTTCAGAAACCAATATATCCAGATGGAAAGAGCATTCTAGTACATAACATACATTACTATAAAGATTAAACAATATGTGTCCCCAATGCATTAGAAAGATTAAAATTATTAGCACCCGGAATAGCAAAACGTTTGAACATGCAGAGTTAATGTGAACGTTGAGCTTTCTTTTTTCTGAAACCACAGTGGTGATAGTAATAGTATTATAATAATAACGGCATTGCCTAGATACAGTGTGCTAGGAGCTTTGCTGCACTATCTTACTCAATTCTGGCAATAACCCTGCAAGGCTGATTTATTATCATGCCTGTTTTAAATAATGTGTCCCCAGGGCTCCCAGCTGGTTTTGGTTCTGCAACCCAGCTCTTACCTGATGATCAGTACTGCCTACCTCCTCCCACTTACGGGTGCAGAGAAGAATTTCTCAGGTAGAAATAAGACTTGGGAAGGTTGCTTTTTCCTGGAGGGATAATTGTCAGTGTGGTGGCTTTTCCATATCCACATAGCTCGAGTGGCTGAGGACTGTCCAGTCACCGTCACATGGGCTGTCAGGTCCAATTATTTCTGTTTTTAAATTACTTGGTACATGGAACATAATGTGATCACTCTCTTAAATTCATATCTAAAGACTGCTTTATGATAGGATTTTACTGCAGTGGCAACTTTTTAGTTGTACTGAGCAGCAGAGCTCGATTTCTGTGTGTTTTGTAGAAACACACCTGGGCCTTCTAACATGTTCCATTCTGAAAGATCCTTCATCTCATTTTGTCAGATTAAACTTGCTCACTTTCTATAGCATTTCACTTGCCTTTCTGTGTTTTTCAAATACTAGAAACCTAGTTTCTAAACTTAAACTTTAAATATCTCTGATGATATCATAGTTATCTCATTATTTTTCCTCCCCATCCTCAAAGTCCCCCAATAAACCCCATAACATTTGTTAGGCGATACCATCGGACCAGCAACTTGAAGTAGTTTTGAATAAGAAAAGCAAGTGATTTTAAAAAATCAGCTTCAGGCTTCTGCCTTGTTTTATTAAAGTGTCTGTAGTTTTACCCTTTTGTCTCTTCCTGAAAAAAGGAGTGTATGTTTTTTCACTTACCCAATTGGGGTAGGGGGGCGCCATAATTCAGAGGCCAAACTGTATACAGTTTCTGCTTTCAAACTTGTCATCAAGCTGAGGAAAGATGAGTGTGGATGCAGGAGGCGAAAAGTCAAGGTTCTTTTTGGAACACGGGATATGAAGAAGCTGTTGTGTCTGTTGGTTTGATTTAGATGAAAACCCATAGGCAGGGTCATTATCTTCCTCTCGGTCTGGAAAACGTGTCTTAATCTGACACTTAGTCACCAACAACGGCACGAAGAAGGTGCCCAGAGTGATCTCTCTGCTGCTTGGTGCACGGGTGTGGCCTTTATTCCCATTCCGTTTTCTATTTCTTCTTGCTGCAGCTCAAGGAGTACGAGGCCCAGCACCGGCACTCAGCTGCCCTGGGCCCTGCCGACTGGCCGGATGGTCCTTACCCGACATGTGACGGCTCGTCCAACTGCAATGTAAGTTTGCCATCTCTTTGAGCATCTTGACCACCTGCGCTAATAAGGGGCTGCCTTTGCAATGCCAGCCTTTGTATTTCTTTTCACAACTCCCAACTCACACCTGGGTCTCAGAAGGGAAGGGGCGTCTCTGCATATAGATTGCTCAGTTTTCTTTACCCAACAGAGACCCATCTACAGTCCAAATTGTGTTATCATGCTGGGTTTTTGTTTTTTGTTTTTTTATTGTAGTAAAGTATACATAGCATAAAATTTTGCCAAATTAACCGTTTTAAAATGTCCGATTCAATATCATTAAGTACATTCGCGTTACCGTGCAGCTAGCACTACAATCTACCTTTCTGAAACTTTTTACCACCCCAAACGGAAACTCTATACCCACTAAACAATTAACTCCTCACTCTCCCCCTCACTCCACTCTCAGCTCCTGGTAACTGCCATTCTACTCTCTGTCCCTGTGAATTTGACTGCCCTAGGTACCTTACATACGTGGAATTATAGAATGTTTGTCATTCTGACTCTCATTTATTTCACCCATCATAATGTTCTCAGCGTTCATGCACATTGCAGCATGTATCAGAACGTTGTTTCTTTTTATAGATGAATAATATTCCACTGTGTGTATATACCACATTTTGTTTATTCATTCCTTTGTTGATGGGCACTTGGTTTGTTTCCACCTTTTGGCTATTGCGAGCAATGCTACTGTGATCACTGGTGTTCAAGTATCTCTTTCAGTCCCTGCTTTCAATTCTTTTGGGTATATACCCAGGGTTAGAATTTTTTGATCATATGGTAATTCCATGTTCATCCTTTTGAGGAACCACTGTACTGTTTTCCCAAGTAGCTATACCACTTTATATTCCTGCCAACAATGCAGAAATTTTCTGCCATTTTCCCTTATCTTGATAATAGTCATCCTAACAGATGTGAAATGGTATCTCATGCCTTTGATTTGCATTTCCCTACTGACTAATGATGTTAAACATTTTTTCAGGTGCGTATTGGCCATTTGTATATCTTCTATGTAGAAATGTCTATTCAAGTCCTTTGCCCATTCTTGAGTTATGTTGTTTGTTTTGTTGTTGTTGGGTTGTAGGTGTTCTTTATATATTCTGGATATTAATCCCTTATCAGATATATGATTTGTAAGTATTTTTGCCCATGCTATGGGTTGCCTTTTCCCTCTCTTCATAGTATTTTTAATGCACAAAAGTTTTTAATTTTGAAATAATTATCTATTTTTTCTTTTGTTGCCTGTGCTTTTTTTTTGTTGTATCCGAGAAATCATTGCCAAATCCACTAGCATGAAGATGTTGCCCTACGTTTTCTTCTGAGATTTTTGGAGTTTCAGCTCTTAAGTTTAGGTCTTTGACCCATTTTGAATGAATGTTTGTATATGATGTAATATGGGTCCAACTTAATTCTTTTTCATATGGATATCCAATTTTCCCAACTATTTGTTGAAAATGGTTTACATATCAATGCTCTCCCCCCCCATTTTATCCCCTTTTTGAAAATTAATTGGTCATATATATGAGGGTTTATTTCTGGGCTCTCTATTTTCTTCCATTGGTCTATGTCTGTCATTTTGCTAGTACCGTACCATTTTGATGAGTTTTGAAATCACGAAGTATGAGATCTCCAATTTTGTTCTTTTTAAAGATTGTTTTGGCTATGTGGGGTCCCTTGAGAGTCCATATGAATTGTAGGTTGAGTTTTTTCTATTTCTTCAAAATATGCTGTTGGGATTTTTGGAAGCAAATCCACCTCCCTGTCTTCAGCCTCTTGTCTTCTCCTGTCCATGTTCTATGCCACCAGACCTCTTTCTAAAACATCCTTCTTTTCTCACAATCATGTGTTTTAAAAAGCCTGATGGTTTTCCATTTCTATAAGATAAACTCTGAACTTCTTGGCACACTCAAGGCCCTGTGTGATCTGGCTTTAATCAGTTTCTCCAATCCCATCTTTCATTACCACACCCAACACCCTCTATTTCATCCACATTGAACTCTGTATGCATGGCTTTGTACTTTCATACTTTTATGTTTTATCTCACGCAATTTCCTCTACCTAAAGTGTCTTTCTCCAGATTTTTTCTGGTGAAAATCTATGCATTTTCCAAGGCAAAGCCCAACCGTCACTTCCCCTGTAAAACTTTCCTTAACCTCCTTAAGCCTATTTATTTATTGCTTCTTATTCTGTGCTTTTGTTAAGCTCGCTTTATATATCAAACCTACACAGTCATCCTAGAGTATCAGAATTAATTATACATATTTCAGCCTCTTTGGACATAGTGAGCTCCTTGGAAAAGAAAGGCTGTATTTTTTGCCTCTCCAATGTCCAGCTCATATAAGAATATTTCAAGAGCAAAGTTATATTTGAATGTTTATTCTTCCTGGTTGCTTTAAGAGCATATTTTATGTCTTGCAACTACAGATTCACAAAGCAACAAATGGTGGTTTATCGGAAGTAAATATAACCCTCCCGCAACCTTCTTGTCTCTGATTTCCTGACTCAAACACCAGATTGCCATTGCATCTAAGAAACAAAGGATTATGAATTTGAAAACCCTTCCTGGCTTACTTTTGTGTGAAAGAGACTGAGACGTTACCATTTATAATAATAAATGTGTCACAGGCCAGCCAGCAATGTGTCCTGGGACTATGAGCTAATCAAAAGAACTGTGTCCATGCTTTTCAATGTGCCTTTTTGGGTCTCTTATCCCCAAATCTTAAAGACTAGCATAATATAAATGTAAACCATGGGCTTAAAGGATCATGAAGAATAAATACAGTAACTCCAGACCGATGTGAATCAAACCCAATTTGGGGGAGAAAACAAAGACTCAGTTGTCCATGGTGAGTCCTTTGGTATCAGATCCATTGTATACTGTCCTGGTTAACAGCATCTGAGTCAAGGGAGAGGTTAGAAGACCTTGTTCTTTCAGAGAAACAGGACTGTAGCAAAACCTCAGACACTTAGACTTCAAAGAGAAAGACATGTTTCATTTAGGAAAAAATTATTGTAAGTTGAATATTACCGGGTATTTTGAATAAGCTGCTAAGAAAGCATTATTAAGTAAGTATTGGTTTGTTGGACCCCTTTCAGAGGATCAATCAGAACCATTACCTAGATATAAATGATCAGAATGAAATGTATTCTTGAGTTGGACATTTCATTCTCTTGAGCGTTTCTTGTTTGTCTGGGAGACATTTATGGAGCCTTTGCTACGTAGCAGGTATTGTGCTAGATGTTTGAGTTACAAAGGTGAAAGAGAAAGAGAGGCCCTATTCTGATGGAGTTTACGTTTTAATGCAAAGGTTAAAATCACACCCACATGTGTGCACACAAATTCGAGATGTCATGTACATATTTACATTCATAACTTCTTACCAAACTGTTTCTTCATAGAGAGTGGAAAAATAAATTCAGCTTGTCCTAGTTAGACCAAGGGCCAGAAATACCATATGCTTCTTCCACATAGAGCACAATCTTCCAGAAGCTCTGCAGAGTGAATTCTCTTTTTGCTTAGAGGTATAGGTGAACAATAGGTTATTCAGCAATGGAGTTTTCTGAAGCAGGATTATTCACCTTGGGTATTTCGCTAGTTGACTTTCTGCGAACACCCATGCCCACCCCTAGTCATGCTTTTCAGGACTGCAGCCAACCACTGTCACCACTGAAGTTTTCTCAAACTTGATTGTGATCCTAAGGTTGCAATGACTCTTGCCTCTCTTACCCTGACTTTAGCCTGTACTGTGTTTTTATGGAGACTTAACAAGAAATTCCATCCAAAATATTCCTTCTCTTTATTCTAGATCTGTCCTGATAGCCAAACAATTAATTTCAGATAATTCATCCTCCATGGGTTAGGCGCTTTGAGTATCTTGTGTGTGAGGGCCAGGGCTTTTCAGTTTTCTATCGATTCCTTTCTATACTTAGATGTAAATAGCCCACTGGCTCTAGCTGGGAACGCCCAGGCCATGAGAGTTTCAGGGATCATAAGGCCTTTGTCACCAGACTTCAATGCCTATATTGATGCCTGTCGTGCTTTAGGATTTCATTTGCACTGAGTTCATAGGCTTCCCCACCCCCATAACTGACATTAGATAATTGCGTGTTGCCTCATAATAAATCCATATGCACATTCCCAGTTTCCAAGAGTGTAAAGTACTAAAGATAGATACCAGGGGAAGTGAAAAATAGCTTTCTCTTTGCCAGAGAAGAATCTGTTCTGTGCTGTTTTTCATTAACAATAAACTTCTGCTGGGAGAGTTAAAAGTTTTAAAAGCGATTGTTGGTTAAGAACTTGACTTCTTGTCAAATATCTGAACATTTATTTTAATATTTTTCATTTTAATTGATTTTGGTAAATTTATATTTTCATTTGCCTCCTACAGGGGAAGGTTTTAAGAGTTCTCATTTTATGCTATCAACTTTGTGCCTTGAGGCTCAGTTTACCTTCTGGTTAAGAAAACATTTAAAGAAATTATGCTGTTTTACTGGGTTTTCTAGTTTTTTTACTCAAGCCATAAGTTTTAGTAAATTATGGTTTTTCTGTTTTTACAGCTAGTGGGTAAGAGTTGGTGATCTGTACCTAGTGCTTGAATATTACTGAAAATGCTTGCAGTGAAAGATCTTTCCAAAATATGGCAAACTGTAATTACTCTGTTATGATGTTATTTCAATTGTTTTGAAAATATTTAATGGGTAAAGAAAAGTTACAGCCACAACAATGACAACAAAGCACGGGAGCTCTAAGAGTCCATTGCAAGTAACATATCTTGGTCTCGTTTATTTGCTTCACTTCGTACAAAATGTGTTCCAGAAAAAGTTGGAATTGTGTTTCTGTAGCTGGAGCTCCTTCCTGGGATGAAGCAACTCTGGTGAAATGTTTTTGTGAAGTGAGTTTTTTTTGTAAAGCAGTCATGGTTTCATAATTGATCACTTTTGCATTTGGGGAGTTTTAGAGTTGGGAGATATTTGTGCAAAGAATG